GCCGCATTCTCCGGCTTGGCTGGCGGCCGAACTGTTGGTTCGAAGTGCTAGTTTGGAGTGTTGGTCGTTGGTTGAGACATGATATAGCGTGATACACAAAAGACCCTTAGACCCTCAGGGCTACTGTGGGGGGAGAATACATGGGACCCCGTGGCGAGCGAAAATAGCATGTTGTCTCCACGTTACAGTCTATTTGACAAAGCGATATTTTGGCAAAGTCAACATGCACCAAACTTAGGCTGATGTACGAGGTTGGTGAAGACTTGGCAAGAAATGATCAGATCAGGGGTTGGTCTGGCCCTGAGTCGTGTGAAGGGTCTGAGGTCTGTTGATCAACTTGAACGTGCCAAGTACGGATTTACGGTTACAGAATGAGCCATCGTTGGCTGAATAACCATGTTCTACTTTGCAGTTTATTAGAGAGCAGACAGACTTTATCGGATTATTCTAACTAGTATGCGAGGTATGAGCTAGAGTCGTATTACAAGATATAGGCTAGAGCTCCCAGTAAGAATGCTACCAAAGTGGTCCCTCCAGAAGCAATTCGCACTCCTATACTATCATCTTTCCAATCCAGTGGTTTGCAACCCCAACTTTCCGGGATCTCCGACCTGTTGGCGATGCTGCCGCACACCCGCCAAGTCATTTCGGCGACGATGCTTGATGCAGCCGCAGGGGGCACGGCGACACACTTATCTGCCCGAGTTACCAGAGGCTCGACTGCGCAGACCTCTGCTACCATCTCGTCGGCGCTGATATCTCCTTCCGGGACCTTGATCGTGTTTTGGACATCGATGGTGAGTCCAACTGGGTATGAACAATTCTTGTCGCTTGTCTCAGCAACGAGGTCGACCTGTCCTGAAGGGCCCTTTGTAGTGAAGGTAATGTTGGTCGTGGTATAGTTGGAGTCAATATAGTGTGAATCGTTGTAGTAGTGATAGCGATCCTCGACGCAATTGCGAACGCCAGTAGTGAGCGTCATAAGCCATTTGCCTTCGAGATCCAAGTACCGATGGTAAAGGACTTCCAAGTGAGGATCATGGTTGGCTGAGATATTGACTTGCCGAGAGTCGAGTCTGCCATCAAAAATGAATTGGCTAGTATTACTGTAATTGTAGATCTTGTAGATAGCATAAGGCTGAAGAATAGGAATAAGTTCGGGGTTTCGGAATGAGAAAACAAAAGGCGTCATCAAAGAGGGAACGAATGTCGACTCATTGCGTGGAAAGACTAGACCAAAGTCCAAGATGCCTGTAGAATCTTGTTGCAGTTCCTCAGCAGCCCCGTTGGAGACCAAGATGAGGAAGAACCAACACGCCAAGGAATAGAGGCAACGCATTTTGCAAATGAGTGAAAATGTTGATTGAGAATGAATGTACGCGGGAACAAATTTAGTTTACAAGGGCCTGAGCGACTTCTTGTAGTGAGCGGGATCCACGACCCTGCGTCTGGCATGGCACATGAGCAACGTGCCGGCATCTGCATGGCCGTTTTACCGGCTTGGTAGTTGTTGGTTGATAGATGTTAGTCAATGCACCATAGAGAGTAGTTATACTAGCGGGGCCCAGCAGGGGTAAGGAATATACCCGGAATAAAGCAGCACATGTCACAAGGGGTTCTCAGCCTCTGCGGCTCTGCCCGCGGATCAGAACCACGCGGTAACTACCTAGACAAGTAAAGATCGACAGGAACTCGCTGGCGAACATCCAGAAGAGAGTACAATTCGCAGCCCAAGACCCAGCTCGGTTACAGCGCCAAGACTGCGTCACCTTTTCCGGCCTTTACCAGTAAAGGTCCCTGATACTTACTTTTGCGAGATTTAACCGCGAGGGCAATTCCTCTTTGGGAAGGAAAAGAGTGCTTTAAACTGGGGAAAGCTGGGGTTAGATTGGCCACTTGGAACAAGCATAAAATTAACCTTGGCAGCCACTGGTTCGGCCCGTCGGAACATCCTTCAGTTTTAAGGCAATGCTTGCTAATGGACCGTTCTCGGCCGAGCCCAAGAGTCAGAACCAACAGCCTCAACAGGGTCTATCTCGAGAGTTCTGGAGAGGGAAGGTGTTGCTCTTGTTCGCCGATGAGGCGCAGATTTTTTGGAAGACCAACAGTAGACTTCATCAGACGATTGAGGGACCTTCAGTCCACCAGGTCGGAAGAGAGAAAGCTACATATAAATCGAGTTGTGGCCGGTACTAGGTAGATTAGATACTGCATCAACACCTTCACTCAGTCTCTCTTTCTTCTCATCCATCTTCCAAGCCAACGAGATGCATCTCACAACACTTTTGGCTGCGAGCCTTCTCCCGGCGCTTCCCTATGCCCGTTCTATCCCCTCGCGTCGTGGTGTGGATTGTTCATTCTACACCTCTCCCGACAGTGGGGCGACATGCGCAACCTTTGCTGAAGCCTGGGGCATGTCTGAGGATGATCTCAAGGCATTGAACTCTGGTGTGAAGTGCCCTGACATCGATACGCAAAACACCTACTGTGTGATTGGGTCTGTCAACGATGATCCCGATGAGCCTTCACCTACCGCCCCCCCTCCTAAAAGCACGGCTCCTGCTTCAACCAAGGTGACGTCGGCCATCAAGACAACCCCAACCGCTGTTACGCCCACTGTTACCCAAAAGCCCACTACTACCAAGCAGCCTTCTGGCAATGGTGTTAAAACCCCAGAGGCTATCCAGGAAGGCATGGTAAGCAACTGCAACAAGTTCCACTACGTCTCGCCTACAACCACCTGCCAGGGCATTCTTAACTATAACAAGATCACCCTTGCCGATTTTGTCAAGTGGAATCCAGCTGTCGGCAAAGACTGTAGCGGTCTATGGGCTGAGACGAGTGCATGTGTCGGTGTCATCGGCGGCTCTACCCCATCTCTAACTACAACCACCAAGCCTAAGCCCTCAGCAACTACGCCTGCGAATGGGATCAAGACGCCAGAGGCCATTCAAGAGGGCATGGTGTCCAATTGCAACAAGTTCCATGAAGTTAAGGATACGACTACTTGCCAGGGTATTCTCAACTATAACAAGATCACCCTCGCCGACTTTGTCAAGTGGAATCCCGCTGTCGGTAAAGACTGCAGCGGACTCTGGAAGGGCACTAGTGCATGTGTCGGTGTCATTGGCTCTACCCCATCTCCGACTACAACCACCAAGCCTAAGCCCTCAACGACTACTCCTGCGAATGGGATCAAGACCCCCCCAGCCATTCAAGAGGGCATGGTGGCTAACTGCAACAAGTTCCACGCGGTGAAGGATACGACTACCTGCCAAGGCATTGTTGAGTACAACAAGATTACGCTTGCTGATTTCATCAAGTGGAATCCCGCTGTTGGTAAAGACTGTAGCGGACTCTGGAAGGGCACCAGTGCCTGTGTTGGTGTAGTAGGCTCCAAGCCCCAGCCTACAGCCACGGCTCCCAGTAATGGAATCAAGACACCTTCGCCTATTCAAGATGGTATGGTCAAGAATTGTATTACATTTCACTATATCTCTTCTACAACCACATGCCAAGCCCTTCTGAAATACAGGAAGATCACCATGGAGCAGTTCTTCAAGTGGAACCCAGCAGTCAAAAAGGATTGCAGCGGTTTGTGGAAGGACACTAATGCTTGTGTTGCTGTTAAATAAGCTAATTCAGTAACTTGGCCTCTGAGTTTGGTAGACCTTGTCTAGTATGGTTTCAAGCAGAGAGTTTAGGTTACAGGGCGCTTGGGTTGGGGGCCAGAAGGGCTATGGGTAGAAACTTAATTCTTGTATAACATTGTTTCTAGCATACTATTGATATATTCTAGCTTATATATATTTTTTAAAAAAATGAGTTTATATCTACACGTTTCCGAGTTCCATGGCAAGGTTATATATATGGCAGATCGAGATCATTTACACCGATCGAAGAGTATCTTGCATCTTGGCTCAAAAGGACCTGCGAACCAACAAGCCGCTGCAACAGGTAAACTGATACAAGGCCTATTAGGTGTTCACAGATGAGTTTACTATGGTATCTTCAAGTTGGGCAGAACAGGGAATATGGAAAATGGGTAGGGGCTGATGGTCTTCCATCTGTGTCAAGTTTCTCAACCTGTTTTTTTGTTTTTCTATTTTCGTGTACTGACCGCGTTCACAAGCCCTCCGACCCTGTTCAGTCTTCCGCCCCTTCAACTCTGTGTTCATCCACCAAAATGTCAACCTCCACTGGCATCATGTAAATCCACCACAAATTAATACAAAACACATCCACCAAAGCGCCCTCAAGGCGTAATTGCAATTTCACCATCCCTTCTCCACCACTCTTAACACCCCTCAGGCCTTTGACGCTTCTGGAGTCTGTTGCGAGTACGTCTCTGCATAGGGGGTGGCCAACTATCTCCTGAAGATCGCCAAAAGTTTTGTCGCCAATTTTGTTCAGCCTTCAGTTCTGCGAGTGGTCTTCGAGCGTTAGAAATAGTTTTAATTTTTCTATTTGCTCTCTTACCTCTCCAGTGTCTTCGGCAACGTCTTATAGACTCTATCCACTTTTGAGACCTCGAGACCGGCACTATTCGTTCTTGCTCGTAGTTGTTACGCCTGAAGAAAGGTAGAAGGCTCTCCTCAGCAGGTGGTGTGTTGTAGAGCTGGTTATGGCTCCGGATCCATATGGTAGTGGTTGGTTCATACGCCGGTGAGACTTCAGAAGCAAGGTGTTGTTGTTGATCCTGCTGTGCCGGAGTCATCCCCGGGATGGCCATAGGAAACAGAGCCCCTGACGATACTAATGCAAAGTAGCTATTACTTACCGGCGCACTCCCTTCGAGTTCACACATAGGTGTCCTCATTTCTATCTTTGGAGGAAGATGACTTTGAGCAAATGGTGACTTTTTGATGACGAGCTTTGGGGAATGGTGGTTTTCAGGCTATGATGACTAGGGGATGATGAGGGTTAAGAAATGAAGCTATCGACAGTTTAAAGAAAATGTATATATATTTCAAAAGAAAGGGTCCTCTGCCGAAGCTATCTCATCGCCAGCTTGTATGGTTGCTCACCCCTGGCAACGGCTTCCGGTTTGGAGCTGTTCGCTGGACACTGGCGGATGAAGCTTGTTGCTTCGATTTATCTGCAGGTCGAGGGACCGTTTCTTTGTTGTCGCTGGAGCGTCCATCTTTAATAGGAGGATTATGTTGTTGACCTTGGATGTTCTGTGGATGTTCATGGGATGTTCGGGAGCTGGCCCTGCTTGAACGTCCCCATAGGTACCGGTAATTATCTTCTGTGATCATCTGATCAGTTGTTGGATATGGAGGCGGCTTCTTCTTGTGTTCGTGTTCCTGTTGCTCGTGTCGATGTTCCTGTTCATGCTTCTGTTCGTACTTTACTTTGGGCCGTTTGTCTCTGCGTTCATGGCTGCATCTACACTCCCAGATGTAGTACACAAGGTATAGAAGTAGTAAAAGTGGGATGATCAGAAGGGATAGCCAGCCAAGCTTTTGGTTCGAACCATGCTCTTTGGGTCCCGCGGGAGGTGCTTCAGAAGCCTTGGGAGGCGAGATTGTCATGGTAGAGGTCATCGTTGTAACTGCAGAGGTAATTGTTGCAATGGTTGTTTCCTTAGCGAAAGAAGTGATGAAGCTGGATGTCATGGTCGTCATCACAGTGGTCGAGCTACCACACAGACTGACTGAAGAGACACCTGACCCTGGACCCGAGGTCGAAGACGTAGGCCGTGGCATATACTCGGGATCTCCATCAAGAAATCCCCACGCATTCTTGGCCTTGTCACTCAACTTCGCTGCTCTCAGATCTCTTTGAGGACAAACACCACGAAGACAAGGATCAGCGGCACAGCATCCCAAGAAAGGAAGTCCCTCTCCAACGCAGGTGTACCAACTGACATCGACGTTATCGTTGAAACAAGCCTGAGGGAGGAACTCATGCTGAAGTGTCGCGTTGAAGCTGGCGGGTCTGAGATGTTGATCAGGACAGAAGCCTTTTCTGGCGCCGCAGGGGTTGATGGTGCAGCAGCCGATGAAGCGATCCGGATCGTCAGCGCAGATGTAGAAGATTCCGCCGTAAGGACAGGTTAGACCCAGATCCTGGATTGGGTTGTAGTCTGGCATGGCTGTGGTTTGAAGTAAGATGCGATGGTTTCCGAACTTTGATCTTCACAGTAAATGGAGGAGAAGAGTCTTGAGAAGTTAGGAACTAAAGAGGGCTTCTATGGTATATACACTGGCATTTTACAACTCACAGCATTTCATCTAACCTGCTTCATTGTTACGGGTTGACCGACCTTTCTTGCACCTAGATATGCAGGTTAATCTACAGACGATGCGAATGAGGCTACAATTCTCAGAATTGAGATCAATAGTTCCATCCTGTGGCGTTCTTATTCTTTGTGATTATAGGCGAGCTGCAGATCTAGTTGAGTTGGCGATATGGATGAGAAAGTCTGAATTATGTATGAGTTGCAGAATATGAGAAGTGACAGAAACTCATCAACACCAATGAAGCGGTCAAGAAGGACCAGAAACATGTTGGCAAAACATTGTATGCTGAGATACAAGAGTTATTTCCTGCTGGGATGCTATCAAATACGGAGAATCTATGCTTAATGTGAAGAGATGTAATATCACTACGGTCACAGATCAATGGAGTGATATGACATTTTCTATTCCAGATAATCATGGATGCCACAAGAAGTTAGTGTCTGTGTCACGAAATAGGATGATCTTTAGCAAACATATGCAGCTTCCTGTATACACCATGCCAAAGGCTATCTGAACTTTACCTTTCACTGAACTAATGGCCGAACAAACAACTAAGGTAATTTGCCAGTTGTTACAATGACAGTTGTTGGGTTCAGCTTGAACGCCAATGAAGCAAATACTTGTTCCCGTTATCTCCCAGCGTAAACGAACACACACGCCTAATGTGGCAAATAGCGACATGACGGATAACCAAATCTCCTAGCTCATAAATACATAGCTTTATTCCATCTATTTCAAGCTATGTGGAAAGCGTTTGTTAAAGCCAGGGCAGATTGCCAGGGCCTAGACAAGGCGAAACAGGGAATATGTTGAGTTGATCATCACTGTCTTTTGACACTCGCTCAGACTGAATATTCTCAGTGCCTTTGATGTTTTAAAATATGCCTTGAACTAATATTGATACTTGAATCTCTCATGAAAGGCTGTGACCAAAAGAGGCTATAATTTGTCAAATGTGTCTTATCCGCTACAAGCACGCAACCAAGCCTCTTCAACCAAGGCCATCAGACTACAGTTCCTAGCTCACGGCCCGCCAAAACCAGTAGCCAACAACAGAAACAATACCGGCTATTCCCCCTCGGTCCCGGTAACTCAAAAGCCATAGATCACGCACCGTTGTCGGAAATTATTAGGCTAACAGATCGGCAGTGCCTGTTACCCCTTTGTGGTTGTCTTGGCGGATCGTTGGCGGAGGTCCATCGTAGGGGTACTGAGCTTTGGCGATCAAAGGCTGTTTTTGGAGAGTGACGCGGACTACAAGGCGTTGTTTGGGCTGTATGTCAATAGAGAGTCTGGTTCATTCAAGTCTATGAAGAAGTCTATAGCATATCACAGTGGAGGAGAGCTTGGTATACTGAAAGAATTCAATGTAATAATTATAGTCGTGACTTCATTCTCTTGGTCGTTAAGAGTAAATACAGGTATAAATAGTCTTCCAACATCCCCTGATACAATACAAAAAGAAAATCTTCATCCAACGCCCGTATATTATACCATCGTTTCGTCTTTCCGCTCATCATGTATTTAAATTGGTGACACAATCATTGCCACATACTTGACATATCCTTCAGTATCTTTAAGAGGTGTCCAGTGGCTCATCATCTTGGCTGGCTTCTTCGGTGATGTTTCCCCGCTGTCACCACTCAGCGTTCTTGTCATATTGGCCCTGCGAGGGATGTGGTTTGCAAGTGCAAGATCCAACGAGACGGACTTTCCATCGCGGACAACGAGATCACGGACTGTCGACTTGAAGGCCTTGGTAACCGATGGCAGTGTAGATTGCTCAGTGAAAATGTCGAATATATCTTTACCAATGATAGCTTCCGCCGACATGCCTAGGTCAAGGGCATCGAGCATCTCTTTGGAGTAAAAAGATACACACAACTTGGGTGGATACTTCATCTCCTGATCGAGAGGCATTGCGCCCAAAGAGGCTGGGTATGAAGGAACGTGCTCAAGAATCATGTATCGGGCGTATGTCGTCATAAGCATTTCAGGCTGATTAGAAAATCTCCTTATAACGGTTCGTGTGCTGTAGGTCTTGTCAATCATCGTGGGTCCAGCTGATGACCGTGGTCTATCCGAGCTGCGGCGTGGGCTCAATGGTGGCGACAAAGGAGGAGGCGGTGGCTTTTTGAACGCTTTGAAGAATCCAGACATCTTTGTTGTCTTGTATTGGTTGTTCTTGACACTCAGGGCTTCCTCCGCTTCAGGCTCGCCTTGAGATCCATCGCTAGCCCAGCGAGAGTTGCTCCGTTCGGGTGTCTTTTCTTCCTCCGCAGCACCGTACGACAAAACCTTGAGAACGTCATGAGTGTCGTGCAGCGAGGACGAGACATCGATCTGGGCGCCCATAAAGAACTTTGTTTTACCAGCAGTATCGAGAAGAGGGCACAGGAAAAGAAGATTCCAGAACGGCGTCCCATCTTTGCGAAAGTTGAGAAGCAATTCTGTACACTCCTCGTTCCGCCAGATCGCGGAGCGCATCTTGGCAATTCCATCTCGGTCAGTTTGTGGCCCCTGAAGGAAGCGACAATTGTGTGCCAAAACCTCATTTCGTGCATATCCTGTCAGTTCCTCAAACTCATCGGAAGCAAAGACAATAGGGTTTCCGGATCGCGACGGGTCACTTAGACAGAATGATCCCTTAAGGCCCGGGTAAGGGTTTGGTGGTGAATCGCCTTCTGCGTCGAGGGAGAGAGCCAGGCTAGTACACTGAGATAGTTGCTGTTTGACAAAATCGGGGAAGATTTCTCTGACGATGCGCTGTTCGATATAGGTTTTAGATTCGAGAAACATGTTTTCCAGGCTGGGAATAAGTGATGTTGTGAGATGCTTGATGTTCGTATTGAGAGCCTTGGACATTGGGGATGGCAGATTGATTGGCGATGTGGCAGTGATGGAAGTATACGAAGTTGATATTGTCGAAAGTTGAATGACAACCTGCTCCAGGGATTGGATATAGTCGCGAATCTGCTCATGATTAGAATCTGTTAGGTGATATCTTGTCTGCTCATCTTACCTTCATGAGGTAATCAACATTCTGACCGAGTCCTCGATTGGCGGCGAATCTCCATAATTGACCACTGGCAGCATGATCGGCCATGACCATATCAAACATCTCCCGTCCAACGAGATCAGGAATAGGCAATTCGCCGGAACCATCTGACTCAGTGAAAGCGATACTAGATCTTTGACTTCTGGACGATGTAACAGAGTCAATGCTCCTCAACCTCTCACCCGACCACTGGCCCAGCCCGTTGCTATACATGCCGGCGCGCGGTGTGCCATCAGGGTGGTAGTCGGTATATTGTCTCAGAATGTCCTCATTGGTGTGGAGTGAAAGGCCTGAATTGCTGCGCAGGCGGTAGGATGAGAATTTAGCACTCTTGGGGCGGTTTGCTCTACTGGTTTTGGGTGGTGCTTGAAGACCCCGCAGAGATGAGGTGACAGAATCGGAGTTGTTGTTGGAGAGTGTCGATGTTGTGGAACGACGACGCTCAAAATCGGGTAGAGATGGAATAGGAGGAGGTTCGAACGACCGAAGAGCGTTAATTGTAGGCATCTTGTCTTAATTATTATGCCCCTCCACAAAAAAGGGACGGACAAGTCGGGTTGTTGCTTTATGTCTCGGGAGTGGTGGAATGTAATGCGATTGTGCGACACAAGCGCAACGGGTTATTATAACAGTTGCTGATTGATGTTTATAGCGCGCCAGAAGAAAAAAGAAGATAATTAAAAGTTGAGTATTTGTGCTCTCATGCAGTGAGAGAAAAGGACCAAGAGTTGTTAATGTTGAGAGCGACAGTGTAAAGCTTAGAAGACCAAAGTTGGTTTGTGAGAGTTGTTGGTGTTGGTGGGAGGTTGTAAGTTATCAGATTGGATTGGATGGAAGACGAGAGAAGAAAGGAAAGAAGGAAAGAATGGGACCCGAGCGCAAAGACAAGTTAGAACAACAAGAAAAGGCAAGAGCAGCCCAGGTAAAGCAACGACTAGGACCCTCGTTCAATCGCGAGTCGCGGAGCAGGAGCAGCCCACGATCGCTTAATACCACGGTACCAGACCCAGCTCAGGTCGCAATGGAAGAGAGGAAGGCACCCAAGACTGACTCGCTCACTCTTCACTCTCACTCTCACTCTCATGTCGCTACGCTACCTCATGCAATTCAGTGGATCAATCACAGGCTACTAAGGTGAGCTTGCGGGGGCGGGCCAAGTCGGGTTCGAGCAAATCCTTGATCTTGGCCGAAAAGCCACTAAAGAAACCCAGTCCCAGTGGCTTCTGCAATGCTGGGTCCCCTTCTTAGCGCTGCAGAAAGTGCACATAGCACATGTTTTCCGGAAGATATCCATGCCTGCCCCGTCCCTGTCCACTGGGAAAAATACTGCACAAGGCTTGACGCCAAAACTCGCTGTAGAGGTTCCGGTGTTTTATTGTCCCCCTTTGAACGAGCTGAAGACCTGCATTGAGTTTTGAGTTTGCAGGGGTTCAACGTGCATTGATGATAAATCCATTTATCATAAGACACTCTCTCCTCTGTGTCTGTCTGTGTCTTTGCCTCTCGGACCCTGTTGACTGAGAGACAAACTATCGAAGCTAACAACTGAACCACCAGCGGATCGGTCCAGAGCTTGCGGTGGCTAACAAGAGGCGTCGATGCGTTTCCGGGCTGGTCACCCAAAAGAGGAAGCCTCCAAAGAAGAAGAGAGAGCGAGCTAGCGATCTACGATCCGACAACGCGGACCCATTCGTTGCCATGTCATGTCATGTCATTGTACTCTGAGTTGAGTCAAGAGCCAACGTCTTTTTTCTAATTCTCTTCCCCTTCTGGCTCCTTTCTCCGATTACAG